CCCAGGGTCTGCCTTGCCAGCCCTGCCCCCAGGGTGAGCCAAGACAGCAGTTGACACTGGCATGGTGCACGCCTGTAATCCCAGCACTTGGGAGGCTGTAAACAGGCAGATCACTCCGAGTCCAATTGATCTAGTAGTGAGACCCTGAACACCCTGTAGACCCTTCCCTAAAATACAGAAAAAAAAAAAAAATTAAAAAGTGTATGTATAATACCCAGCAGGGTTAGGAACATAAGAGATGTATAAACTAAAATCTGGTCCCTTCTTTTCAAACTTCTCTGCCTTTACCTTACAGGTAGACAAAGAACTTAGTAGAGACGGTTGATAGAAGATGAAAAGCCTATCACCGTAAAATGGTACACATTTCTGAATGAGCATAGGGGAGTGAAATGACAATCGTATAAGGCACTCTCCTCAGAAAAGCCCAAGGACCAGTATCTAATGCTGTCTTTGCATAGAGCTAAAGATAAACAAGGTAATCATAGCACGCCAGTTGTGAGAGTGTAGCGTATTTTATTAATTGAAATATAACTCCCTGCTCACACTAATGACACAGCAAAATCTAATCTGCTCTAATCTGTTTCAAATATAATTTAAAATCAGTGGAAATTAAGAAGATGCATTCGATATCTCCGTAATTCCACAGCTAACTAATATGTTTTTGGACTCAGCTTTAACGACAATACCAGTGCTTCCATCTGCCTCTCCACAGACAGTGTTCATCTTGTTTAGGTGTAGATAACTTCTCAGGTTGGCGTGGAGGACTGACCTGACTCCAGGTGTAACGGGGATAGATGTGATGTGTTCCTGTCATTTTAGCCATACTCTTGCTCGAATTTTTCAGTTGCTAGCTTGATACATGAGATGGTTTTGTGGCGAACACTCAAGGGTCTAGAGGACATGTGTGCTGTACTTTCTATGGTATTTTCAAAATTCCTTGATTTTTTTCAAGGCATAGAAAATTTTCTGGGGCTGGCCAGATAGCTCATGGATTAAAGTGCCTGCTTAGGCAGATGCAGGGCCTGTTGTTGGATCCTTGGTGTGTGCTGGCCCTGCCCCTGGGCACAGTGAGACTGGGCACGGTGGCACATGCTTGTAATCCCAGCGCTTGGGAGGCTGAAAACAGGAGGATCACTACGAGTCCGATCTATGTAATGAGACGCTGTAGACCCAGTACTAAGTACATTTAAAAAAATTTTTGTTTTCTGGAAATGTGGAAGAAATTGATGAGAGCAGGAACAAAGTTAAAAGGCTTATAATTAATTTCTAAAAGGGGAAAATGAATGAATCAGTAGTTCCATCGTTAGTTGATCTGACTACAGAACCCTACTTGATCTTGAGTAGGTTAGATTATAAGAAGGTGGGCCAGGCAGCCCATGCAGGACCCTGCCTGTCTCAGGAGCTCTTCTATTCCCCATTCCTTCACTTCAGTACATTTTCCTACTATTAAAGTTATTTGTCAAGCCAGTTTTAAGAACATACAGAGTTGAGGTTCTGCGATGACAACTGGCCCAGCCACAGAAGACATGTTGAATAGAACGAAATCCCATTATCTGCAAATCAGTAGGACCTATTAGAAGAGCACAGTAGGGCATCCCCTGGCCTTGTGAACTAAGTGTTGTGACACAAGTGAATAAGGGGGACACGGAGATTACAGATATGAGATGTGGAGGACCACCTGAGCAGCTCTCTTTGAAAGAAGAGGAGTTGTCTCCATTTTGGCTGAGCCTGACCCTATTTCCTCGTATTGTTATGAACAGAGCTGGCTAGGACTTCTGTTTATCCTTCAGTTGGCCTTAAGCAATGTGTATTGGTCTAGCTGAGGTGCTGGTGATAGTCTTTTTTTTTTTTGACATGAAAATATTTATTTATT